AAAATACCAAGAAGAATTATTGAACACTTTATAATTCCAATATCGAATTAAGGTAGCAACCTATATCTAATATAGTGATGGTCCAAGGAAACCACAATACCATTAGTAACCAAATCTCTAGTTGTGTATCCGTGCGATACGGCGTGATTCTCTAATTTTTTTAAGCCAAAAGCTCGGACCCTCAATTATATTCCGTACTATATATGTTGTATCCTAAGCTCGCTTAAGATTTTATTTTATGATTTTGTGGTTTTAAATTAGTTAAGCAAAAAAGCTTTTACTTAGTTATCAATTTTATAGTGTATCAGTTTATGATGTGTTATGCGTATTTTAATATAAAAAATACGAAAAACATCCATTACAAAAAAAGGTAAAAGAAAAAACAATATTTGTTCAAGGTAAACCAATTCATTTTGAAACCTTACCAATAAATTTGAGATGTATAAATCAATTATACATTTTCTTGGAGTGATGAAGAATGGAATCAAGAGGAACACATAAAACCGCATCAAGGGAACTTATTCGCTTTTGGACAACTGAAATAAACATTAAATAAAGAATGGAATTATTACTATTTTCAACCAATCTGAATATTCCCGAGTAATTGTAAACAAGGAATTCTTTCTGTTAGCATGGTTCTCTCGAGTTTCGAGTATCATACTTGGAAGAAGAAGAAGAATAAGAAACATAAGTGAGGTGTTAGGTATACCTTGACAGTAGATTTGGTAATCTTACAACCTAAAAACACGAGTCTTCATCAACCAATATGATAAATAAGAAAGAGTCTAAATCCTAATTTTTGGGGGAGTAAAAAGCCCCTTTGACATCTCTTCATCTACAAATAAACAAAAAAAAAAAAAAAGATAGCCATAAAGTTGTACCATTTTAGCAGATAACATAAAAATAAAAATAACGTATAAAGACTAGAACACGAATAAAAGTAGAACCAGCTCCACTAAATTAAAGCTTTGCAGTTGGATTCAAACCAAAATCGTACTTGGATTCAAAATCTTACCCGGATACAAACCAAAATGTCATCTAATCAATTCAAAACCAAATACAATCAAACCTAAATTCAAAATAAAACCAAAAACCTAAACTAAATTGAGAGTTGTAACTACAAATATGTAACCTGAAATTGAAGTGAGAATGGTTATTGCGCTGCTCCATCTTCATTTCGAGAGAAAACAAAGAAGAAAGCTTACGTGGAGATGGATGGGAAACTTGAAGGTGAGGTGAGCTGTGAGATCCTAAAGTTACAATTAGTCATTTCTTGGATATTGAATAGCCATTAGGAGCCGGGTTGCCATTCTTGGAGCGAGAAAAGTCTTGGATACTGAATCGTCAACTTGGGGAAGAGAAGCGGCTATCGAGGAAGACGTTTGAGAGGAAGCGGCCGCATAAACCCTCACAAATAAAACGGTTAGCTTTAATAACTTGTACATCATGTATAAACAATTGTGTTTAAGGCTTAAGAAATTTGGTTTATAAGATAGTATAGATAATGAGTCCATTCCTACTTAAACCCAAAATTTTATTCTATATTAAATAGAAAAAAAAAATGAAAATTCATTCTATTTTTATTACAAAACATCCCCCTCAAACTCAATAAGAAGTTAACAACTAACAAGATGGTATGGGCCGGCCGGCCCTATGAGAGAGAACGCATATATTTTTAGAAACAATTAAACCCGAACCACTTGGTTATCTCATCGACCCGAATAAACCAACCCTGCCCCGTACCGAACGACTTTGAAGCTGTGATGATAAGGATGAATCATACATGTCCGTGGCCGTGAAAACGTGTGATTCTGGTGGCAGATGGGGTACCGTTTGTGAACCAATCGCCTATTCTAATCCTTATACAATCACCCCTTCATCTGATGGCTATCTTCATCTTCATCTTCATCTTCAATTTATAATACCACCACATGTCTCTGCCACCGCAGCCGCCTCCACCATCACTCCACAAAACCCTTCCCAAGTCTTTCTCCGACTTCATCTTCTCTCTCTTCACCCTCTATGCCTCTTCCCCCAAACTGACTTCCACTTACAATCATCATCGCCGTTTCTCTAGGTTCCCCGTTATTCCCTTGACCAAGACCTCCATCCATCATTTTGCTACCCCACAATCCCTCTCCGATTGGCTCCGCCCCCGTCTACCCTCCGATTCATTCGCCGCTTGGGGAACCAGACCCGGCACCAAGAACATCCATAACCTATGGCTCGAGCTCTATGAAGGAGAAACCTCTCTTGCCGACTCTACCCCTCCTCTCCGTACGGTCCAAGTTGTCGTGGTTCGCGTTAGGGATGATAAAAATCGAATCTTGATCGAATCACATCAAGAATTGTCGAACGGTGACGTAAGGAACCGCTCCAGACCTCTATCCGAGAAAATGAAGCCTGGGGAGACCGTAGAAGAAGCTGTTGCCAGAGCAGTCAAGGAAGAACTGGGTTCAATTATAACCGCATCTTGTCTTCATGATGACATTTTGAAAATTATACCGGATTCTTATTCGAGTAAGGTGGAGGAGAAGGTGTCTGTTTCATACCCTGGACTGCCAGCTTGTTATGTTTTACATACGGTAGATGCCATGGTTGATGGTTTGCCCGATTCTGGTTTTTGCACCATAGAAGATGAAAAGAAGCAACTTCTTGATGATAAGGAAGAGGCTGAAGGAGCAGTTTCCTGTACGAAGCATTACTGGAAATGGGTTGATTCTAATACTGTTTCATTTTGATTTTTACATGTACGGGTGGAGGTGAGTTTGAGCTCTCCGTTCCTTCCGAATCTTGTGCATATTAAGTGAGTGTTAGAATCATGGAAAGAAGCTGTCTGGATGCTTAAAGTTGATCTTTTGTGAACTTGATAATACAAAGATGTATAGTGCTGAGTTGTTTGCTATTGACATAAAGTTACAGATTGCTAAGTTGTTTGTTTTGCTGTATCATCTTGTTGTTACACATGTACATAAAACTTAAGTAGTTTTCGTTTGTTGTGATCTCTAATGCACTAATGCAGACAGAATACTGTGGCATCGTTCAGAGTAGAAGCAATTTTTTAAACGAATAGATATGCTGAGGCAGCAACACAGTAAATCGAAGCTTTATGTCATGTTTCTTGAGTGCTCATCAACAGTACAAGTCTAGTGTTGAATACTTGATCAAGTGTCAGAGCATCTGTAATATGACATAATGCAATGTGAAACCTAAAAGATTTCATCTAATATGGTTTCCTTCTGCTGTTAGCTGATGTTTATAGCCATTAGAGTTTCCAATGAACTGTCTGTAGTTCAGATTACACCATAAGTTAGCAGGACATGATAGTTGAATAATATAGCATCCAGGTGGAGAAAAATAGCAGATATTTACACGCATGGTTGAGGTTTTTTTTTTTGCATTAGCATAGTGACAACTAACAAGTAAGAATAGTTATGTTCCTTCAAGTAGATGAGGATTACTTTAACACACTCTGCATGCATGATATCAAAAATAACTTAAAACACCCCCTCTCCAGAGAAAAAAAACTGGTGCATCATTTGAGGTCTTGTATTCTTCATGCTCAGCTGTCCAAGATGGTTTAAAATTGGTTTTAATGGGGTCGTAATGCTCTTTATGTTTTTTTCGCAAATATGATGATGAGCTAACTACAAGTTTTCAACAAAATACTAGCTCTGTTACCTTTTTTTGCTTAATTCCCAGTATCCGTTTTTGGTGTTCTGATACAGACATCTTTATGCGCCTCTTAGTGCCAAACTTGAACTTGGTGCTCGCCTCTCCCATCTTGATGATGAATGATGCATTGAAGTTTAGAGTTGTACTTTAATCTGCAATAAACAAATGAAATGCGTGCCTGCCATCATTTGGTTCCTCCATGGTGACAATCATTATGGGATTCTGATAGTGAGTTCATTTTTCTGAAAGTTTTCTTTAAAAAAGTGGGGACTCTTGCATGCAAGAGATCAACGGTTTGATTCTAAGTGACCCGTCACTCTACAGGCATAAAAGTCATGAGGTAAGTAAAAATTATGTAACTTTGGCGTTGCTGGAATGGTAAGTATGAAGGTAGATGAACTGCTCAGTGCCAATAATCCAACCCATTTTTGCGAGGGTTGCATGATAAGAGTATTGTGGACAATGGAGCGTAGTGTTGATTGATGGGGACTGCCATTACCTGAAATAAAAAAGGTAAGTAGCTTCATGTTTGCTTAGTGTTTTTTAGCACATTATTTGAGTAAAAAGCAACCTCCAATCTGGGTGGCTCATGATAATACGCTAGTGGAGTCTCAACTAGTTCATCACGGTTGATTAGCTTTATGCAATATTTTCACAATATTGGATCATTCCGCAACACCATGGGTGATTTTTTTTAGTAATCGTTAATATGTTGGTCCTCAACACTGACTGCATACTTGTTGTATCTTTGTGTCAAAACTGAAACTCATATACTATTAGACAATTAAGTGTGATATATATATATATAATTATATTAGAGGGTCTAGAGTGTAAATGTATCTCTTATATATATCCCTGATTGTAATCGATATATATATACATAATTACCAAGTTTATCTTATACAGTCTCTCATTTAACTTAGTTTAGCGTTTCAAAGTCTTGCGTCGTTATTCCTTGTTTTATTTGCACATGCAAGACTTGTCGAGTACACTCAAAAAGAAAAAAGAAAAATAAAACAAAAGTATTTAGTATTTTAGAAGCACAAGTAATTTGGCTTTTTGAAATATAGCTTTATGGTATATACATGTTCTATAGAAATTCATTGGTTTTACAAGTACAAAAAGCTAGATAGCTTTTTGACATGAAATTTGTTATTTTACCCTTTTATTATGGCTTTTACTGATTTTGTCCATACAAGCCATCTCAAAATGTGGCTGTGGTTGGATATCTATCTCTACAGGGACCTTTTTTCTTGAACACCCTTCCCATGTTCAAAAGCCATGCTTTCCTCTACCTTGCAGTTTTTACTTGTACACTTTAAAAGGACATCCACTGACATGTAAGAAGAGTGAAGATTCCTCACATATCACCTTTATATTGCATCTTTCAATCAGTTGAGACAGAAAAACAAGAGATATCATCTGCAAACCAATCAAGCTTTTTCCATTTACAACATGCTTTACTATTCATTTACATATATAATGAATTTTTTTTATTTAAGCAGATAAAATAGTTGCTTTACCTAAATCTATATATGCGAATGGAACACCTTAGTTGATAGCAATGATAGGGTTCAGTTGTCAAATTGTAGTAGAACATTGTGTCCCTTGCTTAAAAGTCAATGGACCTGCAGGTGCAGATGGACCAAAAACCATAACCGCAACACAATTTACATAAAACCTATATCTTCCAGAGACCCAAGTTCCCACCTTCCATCGGAGGAGTCCATTTGCCTTGAGATTCAAAACCAATCTTCCAGCCGTCTGATCACGACCCAGTTCATAATTGAAAGATGGAGCCACAGGTAAGGAATTGGCAACCAAAGCAGCAGATAGTAGATTGGTATCCTTATGGTCTTGATAAAAAGGAGGAAGATATGAATGAAGAGTTATCTGTTGTGCCTTGTAGGAAGCATAAACCTGAATCTCCTCATAGTAAATGCCAACTTTCTGGTTTGGGTTTGTGGAGAGAAGGGTGAGTTGAATGGAGGAGTTGAGGAGGTGAGTTCCAGAGACAACAAGTTGGTAAATATCAGCTTCTTTAAGGGAGAAGTGTGGTTTGGCGGGATGGAGGATGAACCAGACAAGGAGTATGAGTAGGAGGATTGAGGAGAAGAAGGTGGTGAAGGTGTAGAGTAGCTTCTTGTGAAGATTGTTGATGTTTACAAGTTTCTTTTTAGCACAGTGTTGGGGGGATTTTGCATGGATTTGAGACATTTGTAGTTTGAGAGAGAGTAGATATAGTTTACAATGCTAAGGAATGGGAAGTGCGGTAAGTGGTGGCTTGCATATTATAAAGGGAGTGCTGAAAATGGGAAAGCAGGAATATTTAATAATTATTGCTCCTTCCTGCTTTTGACTGGCACTGCTGCTTACTGGTGGTTGAAATCACCTGTGATTTTATATTTACATTTTTTAAGGTTGATTTATTTACCTTCGCAATCTTAAATTAGCAGAAAATATCAACTACAACAATTCCTAACATTATTTAACAAACCAGTCTGATTTGTTGAAAAATAACATGTTGATTCTCATTCTCTCTTTCACATATGCAGAAAACATGAGACAGATTGTATCAATAATATGAGTCTGATTGGATTTGTTGTTACAACAACGTATTTTGTGTGAATTTAGGGATTATTAGATTAATGTGTATGATAATAAAGATATTGAACGATGGTGAACAGGTCAAATTGATAGAAAAGGAATTAAAATTATGATACTAATAGCCAGAGTTGTTACCTTCAAATTATTTTTCGACTTGATATCAAGTGGTGATGAATCATGAACAACCTTTTCATAAAGACAAAAGCCTCAAAAGATAGCAAAAATGATTGTATCTTTTTTCTTAAAAGTTTAACTTTATTTATATTCATTTTAAAACATAAAAGGAAGGTTTGCAGGATGATGGGTCAGATTGGATCTCTTAATCAAAATCAAGTGAGAAAATATGTGTAGGTTTTTCAATTGCCATACATTCATATGTTATCTTGATTATCCACTAGGACTTGTAATTCAAAGGAAAGTTATTGCAAAAGTAGTAGGAGACAAAATAGTGAATAGTTGACAATCAAGAAGTAGAAGGGATAATATATTAATATAAGTTCACATAGGAGGAAGACAGACATGTGATTCTTTAGAGTAGTTGTTGCCTTTTATGCTAAGAAATGAAATTTCTGGCCTTTCTAATAATTCAATATATATATATTGTTACTTCATCCTTTAGGTTGGGTTGCCGTACGCTTGTGTTTGGCTGCTTCCCCATTCTGGATTCCATTTGTCTTTGAGCTCTTGGGAATTTACTTATACAAGTTGGTGTCGCTGTTAAACATGAAATCAAACCCCTCCTTGTAATTTCAAATTGCATCCTACTGAGTCCAACGAAATTTAGTTATTGGAGTTTATTAACTTTTGATTATTACATCTGGTTGGATGAACCCTACTGTACCCCTAAAACCACCTTCAACTACCTACCTATGGCCTTCCTCTAGCAGTAACCAACCCACGTCAGTTGTAAGGCTGGCTTCTCTTGGTGTTGGCCAATGAGTATTCTTGATGAGATTGCTATTATGGAAACTGCTGCTTGAATAAATATAAGGCTCTCTGTCTTCTAAGATTTCAATATTACATCCTGGCCTGATCTCTGTTTGTTCAGTTGCTGGTCTGTTTTATGATTTGCTTGAAACAAAGAGGATTCCTGATTGCATGGCTGTATACAGAAGAAGATATACAGGAGGCAATAGAGATAGCGCTTGGATTATCAAACCTTAAACCTCTTACTCCGAGCATGCATTCATAACCTTTGATGAATATGTTCAAATTACCAACAAAACATATCAGCAGCCGTAACATGTTCAACTTTGATGCGTAAACCAATAACTACATCATTTGGATGCAGATCTGAATCACACACTCATCAACTCCAACCAATTTACTACATCGTCAAACTCTTCCCCACACTGAAAGCTGAAAAAGATTTGGATCATGGTACTACACATGTCAAAGGATTTGTTATTAGGATTCAGTTGCTGTTCCTCAACCTCAATAAGAATAAGAAGAAGAACTTAATACAAGTGATGTTTTCACCAAAAATCTTGTCCCTACCTGAGATTGGCATCTTAATGACCTCTCAATTTTTCATCCGACTCTTTTCACACCATGCTAGGAGGAGCTCAAATAAAAAATTATTGATTGTACGAAGCAATTGAGCAGCTGGAGGACGCTGATCAGGACTTTTGTTCTTCATTTGGTGGTTTGCTGAGTTAAAGAGAGAATCATATTGTCAATGCACTTTTATTGTTTGACACCACATGACATTAATATTCTGTAGGATCATAGTTCCCAAGGAAAATGGTCAAACTGAGAAATCAGAACATGCAAACAGCATGTTAGAACAAAGGCTGGAGCTTTCGAATGGATGGACAGCATGTTAGAAAGAAGATGGTCATTTGCAGGATGAAGGACATTAATTTGAAGCCAAAAAGCATGTATGAGCAACCCTGGGTTTGGGATACACCACAGTTCAAGGCATTAATTGTCCAACAAGCCTGATGAGTTTCTATAAATAAAATGCGTCACGTGGTTATCAACTCATACAGGGTAGGAACTAGCTAAAGATATGAAAGGAGAAGAGCATGGACAGAGTATTGAAGACTCAAAAGACCTTAATGCTATCTAAAATACCTTCGACAAGTATTTCTACTGTATTGCTAACTACAGGGTACTAAAGTGAAAATGTTTAGTTTGTCTATTTCAATTTCTGTTATGTAAAGTCAAGTGTTAATATTGAGAAATAACAGAGTATTGACTCTGCATTCACTCTTGATTTCCATCTCCGATTAAAAAACTATTCAACAAACCTAAATGGCCTTTCCCTTTGTTTTGTTACTTATTTTCTGATAAACTGGGTTGCATAACTATTGAATCCACAAAATTATAAGATAGGAAAGAAGACTACCATTTCAGGATCAATGCTGTTGCTTTCTTACCCATGCAAAAGGAAAACAGGAGCTGAAGCAAGCAAAATCGATAGAAGATCCATTCAAGGAAAAAATAATCTCAATCTCTGCTCTCCCAATGTCATCATAAGAGAAATAATTACTTTGGCAGTTCTTCGCTCCTAAAAACATTTATGGCAATCTGATATAGTTTAAGTCAGCCAATACAGAAAATTCACCAAATTCATTGGAGAGGAAACTTTGCGGACAAAGAATTGATCAAGAAGAACAAGCAGCCAACATAACATAATTAACAAAACTATGTAGGTGATAAGGAAAATAAAAGGCTAAGTTTCACCTGCTTTTGGTTACAGACAACTTCTTTTCATGCTTCTTAGAGAATCTTGCAGTTGACATGCTAAATAGCCTGTTAATTGACAATCCTTCACCCAAAAATTTCCCTTTAGCTTCAAACCTGTGCTTAATCCTTCCATCAAATCCATAACCAAGAAATGCAGGAAAAGCCAGCATCTCTCTAACTTCACAACCCATCTCCTCAGTTAAGTAATCCAGCTTCTGTTTCATTGATTTATGATTGTATTGCAATACCTGTGGATGCTTCTTTCCCATGGCAAGAATTTCTTCATAAGTCAACCCATAATTCAAGAACAGGCTTATCACCTCCTGCATATTCTTACAACTAGTTCTGCACACTGATCCCATTGCCAAAGCCAGTTCCTTAGTTCTATGTTCATACCCAATCTTGATCAAGAGAGCCAATTTATATGCAAGGTTCTCTTCAAATGACAAGCTTAGAAAAAGAGGGGCTTTGATTAAGAGTTTAAAGATATCATTGGAACTGAACCCACATTGCTTAAGGAAATAAATTCTAGGAAGTAATTTCCTCTTCTGGCTAGCACTAAACAAGCTCGGATATACAAGTATTATTTTAAATATCTCTTCATTGGTTAACCCGGCATATGATCGCAAGAACTCAACATGATTAGTATAATGGTCCACGGTGTAAGCTAAAATGAAAGGCAGCTTCCGTAAAACAGTAGTTGTTGCAACCTCATCTCCCCCACTTAGATTCAAGAGAAACTCAATTCTAGGGATCAGCTGCGAATCCAGGTCAAAGTTAAGGATCGCTGGACGACCAAGTATCAACTCAACACCGCCAAACCTGTTCAAGAAAGCCACCATCCTTTCAATCTCTTCAGACGACTTCAAACACAAGGCTTTAGTTAAATTCACATTGTTGAGAACATGAGCAAGCCTTTCTTTTGGAATCCCAAAATCCAACAGCAAGCAAACCTTTCCTTCAAAACCAGACAAAAAAATTGTGTCTGTAGCAATAAGAAGGCGTGCAAGCTGAGCAGGCTCAATCATACCTTTCAGATCACGGGAAAGAAAGCAAACCAACGAATCGATTTCTTTAGCTATCAAAACATCCGGTCTTTTTTTAACCAGTCTAAATAGCACATGGCCATTAATTCCAAGATTTTGAAGACCATGGATTTGGGCGCGAATGGATTCAAAAGGTGACAGCTTTAGAGCTGGATGATTGTCCAAAAGTGCCTCGGTTACTTTCTTGCTTATACCCATTTCTAGGAAGAGCGAAAACAGTGAAATTCCTGTGAGAAAGGGCAAAAAGATAACTGAAGATTTTGAAGGCGGAGAAGGTGTTTGTGAAAATGAGTGAGAGAGAGAGAGACTGACCCGAATCGGAGTCATGGGTGGCTTGAAGAACGTTGCATTGGAAGAGTCCTCGGCGCTTGGAAAGGGGCAGACCTAGTAGGGTTAAGTGAGAGTTTTGTAGGGTGGGGGAGAATTTAAGCCTAGAGCTACCATGGAGAGTGACTACTCCTTGGCCTCTTATTAAAGAAGACGAAGGCCAAGGCCAAGAGAAAAATGGTGGTGTAGGAGGGTTGATAAAATCCACACAGCAGAGGAACGAAGAAGGTTTATTCATGGAGGAAGTAATCAGAGGTGCCATTGTTTTGCTCTGCTTTGCTCTGCTGGATAAGCTTTTCTCCTTTTGTCAACTTGTGGATGTAATAAAACCGAATCAACATTCTCCTCTTCCGTTAAGGTAAAAATCTTGATTTTCAAAACCTAACTAATATAACGGAAACATACATTTATAAAGTTCAAATTCAAAACTATAAATCAACCCAAAAGGTTAATGGATGAGTGAAAATCAATATATAGAGAGAGACTTGAAACCAAGGATTTTTCAACCGTAACATCAATTCTCAACCCTTCGATTTAAATCTACAATATGAACATTCATAATCACAAAATTGTCACGAGACTTCTCAATAATCACAAAATTGTCACCGTACAACTTTAGACCTATTAGATCATTAGTTTATAAAGTTGATCAATGAACATAAATTGGTCTTACGGGTCTTACGAAAAACCATTGGTTTCACGTGAATCCAACCCCCCTCTCTCTCTCTCTCTCTCTCTCTATATATATATATATATATATATATACACACACACACTAAAACAAAGGTATTAAGATAGTATCATGAGAATTGGGTATTAACATATTGCTCAATTGTGGTTGAATTTGAGATATTCAGGGTTGTGAGAAATTGAAAGATTGAATTAAGTGTGTATAAGAAAAAAAAATGTGATTCATTGTGTCAACTCATGACACTTGACTCATAAGTAAGGGTGCTCAAAAATCCGAATCCAACCCAACGCGAAATAACTCAACCCGAAGCAACTCGATGTCTAATCGAGTTGTAAAACTTTCAAACCGTAGGTATTAGGTTACTATTATTTGAACCCAACTCAACCTGATAAATCTGATATTCTTTTATTTCTTGGATTTAATATGATTGTTGAATTTCTATTAATATATACATTAGACGATTACACTATCACGTACGCTCTTCATATACACATTTTTTTAATCATATTCACATCTATATATAACTCATTCATATATGTGTTTAATAATTGTGAACATATATATGTAAATTGAGAAAATTAACTGAATGTGATATGCGTAAGAAGTATGTATAAGTTTTATCAAATGGTTGATGATGAAAAAGAAATAATGAGTAAAGAAATAACATATTCAAGGTTAGAAAAATATTTTAATGTTACCAAAGTATCAACCCGACCAACCCGTACGCTTTGGGTTGGGTTGGGTTACACTTTGGTTTGGTTTGGATTGGGTTAAGATTTTTCAAACAGCAAGCATTGGGTTGAGTTGTTCAAATGTCTTCAACCCGATCAATCTAACCCATAAGCATCCCTATTCATAAGGTTATCTTACTTAGATGACTCTGGTTTTGCAAAACAAATCTTATTATATAAAAATAAAAATACAATTATATATATATATATATATTAAAAAAGAATTAAGAGGTAATTAAGTGCATCATGAGAATTGAGTATTGAAGTGTTAGTGAATTGTGATTGAGGTTGAGATATCTCACTTTGATAAGAGATTGTATCTATATATATATATATATAGAGAGAGAGAGAGAGAGAGAAAGAGAGAGGTAAAAGATCTTTTGTTAATCAATCAAAGGATCTTAACTTTACAAATCAAAATGAACCAATAGAAAAAACAATATACACTTTTGGTTGATGCATATTATAAATTTTATTTAATGAAGGTAAAAATATAATTTTTTATTTATTTTTTTAATGTAAATTAATTGTTGGTTACATTTTTTAATTATTTCAAGTAATTTTATCGTCGGTTACATAATTTTTAATTATACTCGAGTAGACACTTGTTCATAGATGAACTATCTCGTTTCAACATTTAAAAAAGTAGTGTGTTCATATGTGAAACCGATAACCATATATACGTAACAGGAATTAGATATGTACAAGTTACCAATTATATTTAAAAAAAATTGAACAAACATAAACATAATTTGTTGTTTGTTCATAGGTGAACCAAGTATCAATCCATATTTATTTTATATATGAATGAGACTACATAGTATAAGCGGTTACTAAAATTAAACATAGATGTTACAAAAATCTTTACGACTTCTTTTTTCCAAATATTCTTCTGTTCTTAATTGCTAACCTCTTCATTTTCCTACTATTTTAACTCTATTTTCATAAGAAAATTTAAATCCACAAATATATAAAACTATATATCATTTTATTTACACCAATACATGCATTTTTTTAATTATATGACAATTGAAAAAATAAATCATCAAAATCAATCGATAAGAAGTTTTCGAACATACTTATTTTTTTTCTTTATAAATGAAATTAGAATCCACCAAATATTTTTATTTACATCAATGCATATATATTTTTATTTACATCAATACATATATTATTTTATTTACATGATGATTAAAAATGCATTATACGTTATATCAGATATATATATATATACACACACACACACACTAGAAGGGATCGTGCAATGTAGTGAAATATATCTCGATTTCAATGTTTTATTTTATTTTTTGGTCTCTGTCGATGATAATATTAATTTATGTGGTTTTGAGCAAGCAATGATATTTTTTTAATAAAATATAAATTTGAAGATATCATAAAAATTAATATATATATATATATATATGTATTATATTTTTTGTGTAATTTCTTAATTTAGTTTTTTTTATAATTTAATTTAGGTTTAATGACGAAGTAATTTATTTTTGTTTTAATAATATAATTTTTATGAAGATAATAACTAAGTATTTTCTTAGAACTCAATAATTATTCTAATTATATTTTAAATTTTATATTTAAAATGAAATTTTATTTCGTATTAGATTATATTAATCTACAATTAGTTACACGAATTCAAGTATGGAGCTTATAAGTTGTACTTACACAGAATTTACTTGTAATCTTGAATTTTAAGTGATATGCATCAATATACAGTATTTCATGTAAAAAAGATTGTTTTTAAGAGGTTTTGTCAAATRTTTTATAATATAGTATAGATATGTATGTATATATATTTATTTAAACTAATAAAGTTGAATCATTTTAAACTCAATCATTTTCTGAAAAAAAAAAGATGTATTTATTTGTTAAATATAATAGAGTTGAATCATTTTAGTTCAATCTATTTTTGCAAAAAAAAATGTTTTTATTTGTTAAATATAACCAAGTGTAAGACAAATGTTAGTAATATAAAAGAATGAGATAGTTAATTGAAATTTGAAAAAATTTGGTTGGCTAAATTTAAAATTTAGTCACTTTTCAAAAAAAAATAATAATAATCTTTGATTAAACTAATAGAGTTGAATCATTTTTTTAAAAAAAAATGTATTTATTTGTTAAATATAACCAAGAGTAAATTATTTGTACAATGAGATTTAAGAATTTCTCAAATCTTGGATTATGGTGGTAAGTTGATAATCTCACAATGATATAGACAAGTAGATTCACAAATAGTATGAGTATATAATAAAAAGATGATGAATTAAAATTTGAAAATCTTCAAGTTAAATTTGACATTTAGCCACCATCTCTTTTCAAAAAGTTTCTCAAATATTCGTTTGTAATGTTGAGTTGATTATCTCACATTGATAGAGAGAGAATAAAGTTTGACAAAACATTACAAGTATACAAGGAGAAAATGATGAATCATAAAGCTTGATTATTTTAGTGTTGGTTGGAGATGGTGTAAGTGAACAAAAAAATTCACATGTAATTTTTTCATAAAGTGAACACAAAAGCATGTAAAATAATATCTTAAATAATAGTTTTTGATGAAAAACATATTACAAAAAAATATTTTTTGTATCAATTCTTAAAAGATAATCTTTTTGTGGTTTTCATTTGATTATCATCCCCCTCAAACACACACACACACACACACACACACACACATATATATATATATATATATATAACCTATTAACCTCATATTGTGATAACAATTAAAATTAAAAGATTTTTGAAATTAAAATTGAAATTTAAAAAGATTAAAAGGAAATTGAGATTCAAAAGGGTAATAATGGAAATCAATATCATAAAATCTTAAACACGATCACATTATAATCCTCAAAATTAGAGTGATTATCCATATCTTTATTAGATATCGGTTAAGAAGTTGATTTCAAGGAGGAATCAACGAACAAAGAAGCTGTAAAGTCTCAGGAATCAAACATCAAACAATAATCGATCAAGAAGAAGCGTTTGCATACAACAATCGAACAACAACAAGAAGAAACACAGTTTATTCAAGGTATCTTTCACAATTATTCGATTTAAACATGCTTTCATTCGATTAGGATTAGTTTATCACAACAATTATTGGCGAAATCGATTAAACGATTTTGTGTGATATGGGTGTGATAATCATGTGATATCAATATCACTCGATTTGATCATGGTTTCGATGGGTTAGGTTAGACATCATCACAATGATTTCGGATGGTTTCGATAGGTTATGATTAGACAATCACACATTTATCACATTGATTACGGGCGAAATCCACTAAACGATTTGGTGTGATATGGGTGTGATAATCATGTGATATCACTATCATAACAACGCACTCGATTTGATCATGGTTTCGATCTGTTAGGGTTTGACAATCACACATTTACCACAACGATTTCGGATGGTTTCGATCGGTTAGGGTTTGACAATCACACATTTACCACAACGATTTCGGNACAATCACACATTTACCACAACGATTTCGGATGGTTTCGATCGGTTAGGGTTTGACAATCACACATTTACCACAACGATTTCGGATGGTTTCGATAGGTTAGGATTAGACAATCACACATTTATCACAACGATTACGGGCGAAATCCACTAAACGATTTGATTTGATCATGGTTTCGATCGGTTAAGGTTAGACAATCACACATTAATCACAACGATTTCGGATGGTTTCGATAGATTAGGATTAGACAATCACATATTTATCATAATGATTACGGGCGAAATCCACTAAACGATTTGGTGTGATAATCATGTGATATCACTATTATAACATCACTTGCGCACTCAATTTGATCATGGTTTCGATCGGTTAGGGTTAGACAATCACATATTTATCACAATGACTACTCATGGTTTCGATAGGTTATGGTTACACTCGATTGATCATGGTTTCGATAAGTTATGGTTACACAATCACATAATTATCACAAGGGAAAGGAAAAGAGTGGAAATGAACGTACAAGAAAAAAAGGGATGATTATAATTAATTAAAATAAAATAAAAATTATATATATATATATATG